TGTAGGAACTATGGGCAGAAGTACAAGATCATCTGAATTATAGTAGAGTGAGTTATCACCTTTAAGTGATAGAATGCAAATAAAATATGGGAGTGGAAACTGCTAATGATCCTCGGTAGCCATGTCTTTTCTTCTTTCCAAGTACAGAGCTAGACCACATTTCCCAGACTCCTTTACTGCTACAGTCATGTGATTTCATCCTGACCAATGAAATATGAACAAAAGTATAAGTATCTTTGCAAGGCCTGGCCTATGCCTCATCTTCATTTTCTTGCCCCATCAGCTAAATGATGGAGAGGACTCAGAGCCAAAAGAATGCAGTCACCAGAGAGAAACAGCTTTGGTCTCTGAAAGAATGTATGGAGCCCACTGCCTTGTCAACGAGAACTAGACGATAATAAGAGTAGTAAGTATATTATTGCTGTATTAAGTCACCAAGGTTTGAGGGTTTATTGTTACAGCAGCCAGCATGACTTTAATATATATTCATGGCAATTTCTGCTCCACTGACTGTACTAAATGATTGGTAGGGTTTCTTTAAAAAAAATATGGTCCTAATTCTTTTCCTTTGTGTTACAGAGTAAGTCCAGATAAAGAAGGAAGGAAGGAAGGAGGGAAGAAAGGAATTAGGGAAAGAAAGAAAGGGGCAAGTAATGTGGACTCTTTTAAAACAGCTCAGTATCAACTTTATACCTAGATACACAGAGAAATATTTTCACTACTGTGTACATGCCTCCAAATGCTAACCTGCTTTTCTAGTCAAATGAAATTTCTGCACCGCTATGCGGTGCTGCAGCTGTTGTCCCCCAGCTGCCCTATCCCCTTTCTTGGCATCAGGTCACCCCAGGACGTGCTCTGGATGGGCTGCTGCTGACAGAGATAGAAGAGCGCTTTGCCACGACTTTACCCAAGCAGATGGCAGAACTGGAAGAGAAGCTCACACTTGTGATAAGGTCTTGTCACACACACAGACAGATGTTACCTTGGGGACTCATCTCTGAGTGAAAGGAGGCCACCTCTGGCCACGCTGCATGCGCCTGTCACCAGAAGACAGCCCCGCAATGTTCCATAAAAGAAAGTGGCCCTGCTTGCTACTGAAAAAGTCAGTTCTCTTCCTTTGTACATTTTGAATTTCAGACGTCACATGTGCTTGTGGTAGCAAGTTAAAGACACACCAAGGTATAAACAAAGAAGCTAATTTCCCTTTCTTCTTCCCACTCTTGCCAAATAGGCGGCTTGCTGACTGCCCCTCCCTACTCATTCCATCTTCAGACAAGCCAGCAATGCAAAATCTCTTGGAATGTAATGATTTTCTGCAACATAAATATGACTATACAATATACGTTTGAGCTGAAATCACTTGATTTCACCTAACAATTTATTTTGAATCTCCTCCCCCATGGGTATATTTAGTACTAACCTACTGTTTTGCAAGCAGATATATAATAGTGCCTGGAAGAAAGACCTGGACATGAAGACATCATCTATAGTAAGGGTTAATAATGGTGGCTGATTTTGTTTTTAAGAAAATGACATTTTTAACTAGATTGACTTATACTAGGAAATAGTCTGACTTAAATGGGCAAAAAGAGCATGGCCTGGGAGGAAGGAAATCCTTAAAACCTCCCTGTGACCATAACATAATGATATTGCGGGGGTGAATCTCAAGTTAGTTCCCATGTGCAAAACCGGGGTCCTACTAAATCTTCATGCCAGGAGCCGGTCACATGCAGGCCTCCCTCTAGGGCGCAGGGCTGGCCCGAGCTGACACTCAGCATTTCTCTTCCATGACTCTTAGCACACACAGTTTTCATGCCACTTCTTGGATCTGGCTTACTGAGGGAGGGAGGGAGGGATGCAGCCGCGGGCATCAGCATGCAGGTCGAGCGCACTCTCTTTGTTCTCCTGGCTGAGGTCAGATGGAATAGATCAATCAGCCTCCACATCCATCCAAAGTCCTTCAACATGTCCTGGAGCCTTGCAGTCCATGTGTGCGTTGCCCATCTCTGAACTGCCTGCTAGGATCAGCAGGAACAAACAGAACCAGAGAGCCCCTTGGGGCAGCAAGCAGCTGCTCCCAGGAACCCATCCACTGTGGGTGTTCCCAGGGTGCGTGCATCGGCTCAGATTCCCTGAGGCCTAGGAAAACACACTGCTGAGAGGAGATATCATTTTTTATCTACCAGACCTGTGCTATGCGCTTAACGAATAGCACGTCATGCTCACGGTCCCCTAGGAGGTAGGCATTACTACCTCCACAGACAGGAAGCTGAACTAGGAGAGCCTGCGATTTGCCCAAGACCACCTGGCATGAGGTTAAATGCAGCACAAAAGCACATTTCCTCAATTACCACACAGCCCATCCACAGAGGACGGTGTTTTTGATCCCTGCATGTGTCCTGGCCACCCACGCCCAATCATGTTGTCAATGGATTTATATTTTTCAGGCCTCTGAGTCCAGGAGACTCATATTCTCACTGGGTCCTGAAAGACACAGTTACAATGCTGCTATAGAACCTGAAGAGAAATTCACTCAAGTTCTCTGTCTATCCAAGTCCCCAAGTTGGTGAGCAGGGTGTCTTTCAAACCTACTCACACTTTGCAGCTGGAACGACAGGGTTTTAGCTATAAGGGGCTCCTAAAGGTCACCCTACACAGCCCTCCCACTGTAGAGGCAAGGAAAATGGACAGTGGATATGTGTGGACGAGTCGAGGAGCTGGGTGGAGGTGGGTGAGAGGCAGTGAGGTGCAGAGGGGAAGCAGTGGCCAGAGGCTGGGACACAGCAGGCTTCACACCACATCCTGTGGCCAGGGCAGCCCTCCAGCTTCTTTGTAACTGAACTGTATTTGAACTCAAGCACATACATTCACACAGCATTATCTTTTTTTAACACTACAACAGCCTGGCCTTACACACACACACACACAAACACGCACGCACACACACACACACACACACACACACACTCGCAATGGTTTTTGACCCCTGTGAAAAAGAGGCATATAAGTACATAGGTAACATTCTAGTATGTAGGGGGAAGGTTAAGTTCACAAGTGTATGTTAGGATGAATAAAAGAAATCCATTGTTTAACGACCTACCTGGTGAACAACTGTTCAGACTTACGACCTACCACGTGGGTTTGCGACCCACATTCAGACTTGTGACAAAGAAACGTGAGGGGCAGTGTGCTTGCAGGTGGCTTTCTCTACAGCACAGAACTGTGGTTTTTGCTCATTGTACTATACAGTACAGTACTACAGTTTTGTGCTGTTACTACATGTAAGATTTATGTAAATAAAAGCAAAGCCATCAAGTGCGAGTTTCCTTTGGCCATTTCTTGGTTCTAAATATCCTAATGTCCATATTATACACAATTCCCTCATTCCATGATGAATTCGTGTAATGACTTAGTCCCAGGAAAGGGATGAACTGTTGTTAAACAAATAAGGTCTGTAACTATGTTATAGACGGGCCACTGAGCATCGTGTATGATAAAGAAATGTTATGAAATGCTGTGTGCCTGAAAACAACTACACAGGAAGAAAGGCAAGGAGGGAGGAAGGAGAGAAGGAATTGTCTTTATTAAAGTTGAAGTGGCTTTTCAACACCTGACTTTGACAGGTGCATCTGACCCTTCCCACTCTATCTGTGATGCTCAGAGAGTGCTGCAGAGAGAGGGACAACAGATGGCCAGGTAAGCAGGTTTTCAGAAGTGGGCAGGACAGGTACTGGGTTCTGTGTGGTGGGGAGGAGTTTGGCCAAAGGAGAAAGGGGTCCCGGAAACACATGCTGTTGAGAAGCCAACACTGAGTCCTTTCCACAAGGGGCCTCCTGATGCCCACACCTCCAGTCCCTGCATCCTTCCAATGCCAGCAGTGCAGGAGTCCCAGAACGTACTCTTGGGGCTCATCTGAGGCCAAATACTGGGGGTACTGGGGGTTCAGTCCCACTGCTAGGGGAAAAAACAAACCCACTCTAGGCTACAACAAGGAATTGTTTTATTTGCTCCTGGGCACAGTCTGGTAAAATAAGGTTTACTGTCACCCACGGGTTAGAGGTGCAGTTCTGAGCGGACAAATCAAGTCCAGGGGCAGCTGTTCCAAAGCCTATACTCACCTGCTCAGCGACACTGCCTGGGGCCGGGGTTCCCTTCAGGCAGTCTCCATGAAAGCTCAGTTGGTCCCTTTCCGTGCAGTCCCCAGGGTGTGTGGGGGTACTGTAGATGCGAGGCTTCAGGCCCCGAAAGCCCTCCTCAACAAACAGCAGGGCATCTGCACATTCAAAGCCCTTGCCCCCATCCCCGGTGGGAAAGTTCCCAGCAGCTTCAATTAGAGAACAGTCACAGTTCACTGATGCCCGGTGCTCACAGGGGCAGCTTTATTATTTTATATGTGAAAAATGAGGAAAGGCCAGACCTTCAGCATCGGGGAGACGATGAAAGATGGAGAAGTATTTCCAAAGTCGTGCTAACCAAAAGGTCAACTCAGCCGGGAGGAGCGGGCAGGGAGCGAGCAAGCAGCTGAGACGTATTTGTGGCACCGAAGAGAAGAGGTTGCGATGTCCACTAAGGAAACCATGGCTATGAATTTCAGAGCATCAAGACCCTGTCAACACAGCTAATCCCCACGGATGTCGGCTGAATAAGCCTTCGATGACCGAAGAAGTGCACTGTGGAAACCATGTCAGCCTCCAGCAGGCCAATTTGTCCTCGTATTACACACTCTACTGGCTCTGTCGCTAGCCCCCCAGATCAAGAATCCATGTCAGGCGTCCCCCAACCTGATGAGGTTGACACAGCACGGTTAATAAGTCAACAGAATGCAGAAGCCACGACCGGATTAAGAAGGCTGTTTTATTTTGGTGCCCTGGACTTCAAGCAGATTAAATAATCAAAAAGCCCGAGCCACTGGGGTCATGTTTGAACGCTACAGCTGTTCCCCAAGGTCTGACAAACATTCTTTATGTGGCTCACCATGCGGATGGGAAAGGCAGGGATGATCGCGGGGAGGGAACCAACCCTTGAAGAAAGAGAAGGGACACAATCAGACGGCCCTCTTCTGGAAAGCAATCCCGGCCAGATGGAGACAAGGGGACAGGCTGCTTAAATAAGTGAATGAAAAGCGGGGATCCCTGTTCGCTGCGCTCTTGGTTTGCTGATCTGTGAATTAATAAGGGCAGGTTGCGTGGGCAGCCCAGGGAGACTCGGCATGGAAGGTAAGTATGATCCATGCCCTCGGCCTTGAGAGTTCTCCGGTGGGGAGAGGGAGGGGACTGTCTCAGAAATGTGTCAGTGGGCGATCTACTTTCAAGGCATCTTTCTTTAAAGCTCGGGCCGACATGAAAAATATCTTTGGGAAGATTTACATTTTCACCACATTGGGTAGAGAGGAAGGGGCTGGAGACAAAAGTATGCAGCCGTGATGCAGATACCCAACTGGCAGTCACGGGCCATTTCATAGAAACACGGTGCTAGGAGCTGGGGTTCATGTGTTATTCCCTTTGGGGTCTGGGTAGAACCAAACAAAGAATGAACAAACCAGTCCCAGTTTCAGAAAGACAAGCCTTTCATTAATAGGTTAGTGGATTCTGTGCAAAACATGTTCCTTGGTTTAAGAACTGATTTTCTGCAGCTGATAAACGGTCCAGCCTCACAGCTAAGGTGAGGGATGTCAGTTTGTTTCTAATGAGAAGATGCTTTGGCTTTGAAAGGAATAATTCAGATTATCTGCAGCATTACAGAAAAGGAAACAAGAACACTGCTCTTTTAATTTTGGAAAAGGGAAGGGAATTATGATGTTTGGCATTCCTTGAACAAAATTAATCCAAGTAGCACCTCTTTCAGAAAATTCCCCTACATCTGTCCCCTGGCCCCGTGATGCCCACCAGAGCCCCAAGTACAGAATTCAGGAACAAAGGAAACAGGCTCACTGGGTACCGACAGCCACACTGTATTTCCCATGGTAAGTTCTAAACCAAAGGAGCAACCTTTCTTAACAGCATCTTGGGAGTAGATAATTATTTTGTTTTGAATATCATGGCATAGCCTTCTGAATTCCTTTATCAACTTAACAAAATGCCCTTGGCAAATGTTTTCCATATTTTGAAATTCAATTCGCAAAAAAAAAAAAAAAAAAAAAAACAGGAAAAAAAAAAAAGATGGGACCGATGTACAACTTTGGACAAATATCCCCTCTCTATCCCTACAAGGAGACTCCTTTTGATCCCAGGACCCTCTCCCATGTTCTCATGACCAAGGAGCTCTGGGGGAGACTGCTGTTTGCAGCACTGCTTGTAATGAAGGGGAAACAAAGAACACAGCAGCTCAAATTCCCTCAGTAAGGCAGTGAATAAATATTAAATTTGACACAGTCTCACCACAGAATACTCTACAGCAGTTAAAAGGGAGAAATTAATTTACATTGTATCCATGTTAGTAGATCAGTTTTGAATGAATAAAACAGACTACGGGATGAGAGATGCCGATGATTATAACTGTGTAAAGTTTTGCAAACCATTGTGCAAAAGTGTGTGTGTGTGTGTGTGTGTGTGTGTGTGTGTGTGTGTGTATTAGACTGGCAGATAAGCACTCTCACAGACTCTGGGAGCAGGCTGAGATCAAATCACAGCTCGTAAATACTTACGATGCTTGTGACCTTGGACAAATGCTCTTGCTTCTCTGGGCCTCAGTCTCCTCACCTGTTAAGATGATGTAACTAACGGAACCATATTTTCAGAGTTTTGCTGAGAGCAATGAGTGGTTCAACACATGCTGAAAGGCCGCTCACTACTGTGCTTTACAAGTGCTGCTTTTTTACCAAGCCCGGAGAAACACAGCAGAAGTGATGGGAGAGGGAAGGACTGTTAAAAGAAGATGTCCCTTCAGCACTAATCCAAGGGGATTTCTCTGCATCACTAATGCGTTACTTCTTTTTACTACAAATGAAAGAAGATGAAGAAAGTATGATAGCCCATGGGTAACTGGCACGATTGTTATAGGAATGTGGATTTTTTTTTCCATAATGGGGCGCAAACTTTCACACTGAGCTACATGTCCGATATTTAATATTTTGAGACAGGGTCTCACTAGCTTACTCAGGTTGGGCACAAAGTTGTGACCCTGCCGCCTCACCCGCTCAGAATATTGGACTGAGAGGGGTGCACTAGCACACCCGGATTGGGTATTTATATTATACTTAATGCTTCTGTGTACTGTACAAGTATCCCGAATAAAAAAAGGAGCAGGGACAATCTTCTTCACAGGATTACACCTGCAAAGAGGGACCTCAATCTGTAGGAATGCTTTAGACCCGTCCTAGCCAATACGGTAGCCACAAGCTGCATGTGGGAATTTAAATTGAAATTAAATACAAATAGAAATTCAGTTTTCTTGGTTGCAGTGGTCACATTTCAGGGGCCCAGTAACCACATGTGGCTAGTGACTCCCATGCCGGACAGCAGATGTAGAACATTCCTATCATCACAGAAAATCCCATTGCACAACGCTCCTCCGAGCACACTGCAGAAATGTGAACATCTGCAATGCTCCACCACTCTTCTCCACGCCTGCCCCACCTATTTAAGCGGTGCCCTCCAAGGGCAGGTGTTCCTGAGAGGTTTTTTTTTTTTTTTTTTTCTTCAACAATCTCTTTAAGATCCTTAAGTCTGCTGTTTGACTACTGAGTCAGTGAGAAAGAACCTCTGCTGAAGCTCTGGCAATAGTTAGCACAGGCTGCAATCTTCATCCACACTGGGACGTTGTCTTGGTTACTTTTCTCGCTACCGAGACAAAATACCCGATGCTCAGAGTTCAAGGGGCTAAGGCTTCTCTAGCTCGCAGTGCACAGAGGTTCAGTCCATAGTCGGCTGGCACCAGGTGGGGTGACGTAGCAGAGGGACAACTGCTCACAGGTGGCAGAAGACAAAAAAAGCAAGGAGGGACAACCACAGCTCTTTCTGTCCCTTATATCTTATGCAGACTACTTAGGGCAGGTAGCACTCACACCCTGAATCCTAGCACCCCTAAGCCCAGCAGTGCACCATGAAGCAGTTCCAGCAAAAGCCCCACCTACGACTGCATGAAGCTTTGGGGGGACATCTAGACACAGCCACAACAGATGGACTTGGTCCATCCTGCCTCTGCTAAAGGTGAGTGCTACAATCTTCATTCCAGGATGGAAAAGGTTACTTGGCTCAGAATTATATTATCTGCGAATTCAAAGGACGGAATGCTTATCCTCCTTCTTAAACACTGGCTCCCATCCCACAATCTTTCTGTTTCTTCTAGGTGGGCTGCTGCTGCTTTCAAGTGTAATCTTCCTGCTGCAGGGGGCATGTGGCTGCCCAGAGACATGCTTCTGTCACTCATCTTCAAATTTTGTAGACTGTAGCCACCAAGGTCTGGCTGAAATCCCTCCTGATCTGCCTCCTGAGATGCTAACACTACTCTTGCAAGACAACCAGATACACCACCTTCCCGCTCTTGCATTTAGGACAGTACCACGGCTCAAGACCTTAAATCTATCCAACAATTCCCTTTCAGAACTAGCCCCTGAAGCCTTCCATGGACTTCAGCACTTGCAGATTTTAAATCTAACCCACAATTCCCTGCTTTCCCTGGAAAGAAGACTTTTCCATTCTCTCCCACAGCTGCGGGAGTTCGCTGTGTCATCCAACAACATAAGCCACCTTCCCAAGTCCCTGGGCGAGACTTGGGAGAATCTAACTGTACTTGCAGTGCAACAAAACCAGCTTCAGCATCTCAGTCGCGAGCTCCTAGAATCCATGCCCAGGGTGAGGCTGTTACTGCTCCAGAACAACCTCTGGAAATGCAATTGCCACCTGCTTGGTCTTAAACTCTGGCTAGAGATGTTTATCTATGAAGGTCAGTAACACGGGAAAGATGGGAGAGCCCCTTCTGTGTGTCACCAGTCTACGACAAACCTCTGTTCTCCACATCAGCAGAAACACTGAGGGGAGTGCAAGGGGCAGCTTTTAAGCTTTTCACATCCACGTCATTTCAAGATATGGCAAAAGAGGCAAGTGAGTCCTTACAGGGTATTTACATTCATCTGCAAATACGATGCAGGCAGATAGCTTCCCACTTATCTGATTAATACAACTCAAGGTGACTTATCTGGGAAGTATACTCTTAAGAAAGAGGAACTTCAACTGCCCCCTAAGTAACTGCCTAAGGAACACTAACCTCTAATTCTCAAGTGTGCTGTGATTGGGGGCAGGGCCGTCACTCCATGGGACATGCTACCCTTTGTCTACCTCTAGCCATGTGGTAGCGGTGATCTTCTCCAAGACAATCCCTTCTGCTTTAGTGAATAGGACTGTTACTGAACTTGGGTACACTAGGGCTTCTCTGTGAAGTTACTCACGCTTTCCTTAACTAGATGCTTAAAGTAAAGTATTAGAGCCCAGAGAATCAGATGTAAGGGAAGGGGCTGTGCACATCATCCAGAGGTGAGAAAAGTACAATCCGAAAGGTGAATCCAGCAGCTTTTCTATACAGTGAGTGGCTGCTTTGCTCTGGAGGACAAGGTTGGATAATTACAACAGAAACTGTATGGTACAGTGTACGTTGCTTACGATCTGGCCCTTAATAAGAAGAATTTTGCAACCTCTGTTATCAGTAGGAAACAGAGGCCCAGAGGAGTTCACTAACTTGCCCAAGGTTAAAGCCAGATGACATAAGCATGGATTTGGGCTCTTGGCCCTATATTCTTCTCCATGCCCCACAATGTTTCTCTGAGCACCATTCATTCTTCATACACTCAAGTGCCAGGTACTACTCTAGGCACTGAGAAAAGAGCCGTGAGCAACAAAATCCTCACCACTGTGCAAGTTACACTGGAGGAGTCCAAACGGGTGCTAAATAAGACCACAAGGAAAGCTCCAAGTTCAGACAGCAGTGCTGAGAAGACAAGGAGGCAGGGAAGTATGCAGAGTGACGGGATGGAGAGATGTCGAGAGAGGATGAATATGAAGGACAGGGAAAGCTTTGCTGAAGAGGTGAACAGACGAGTAGACTCAAAACAAGAGGAGCGAGCTGAGAGATGACCGGATGGGCTGGCGGAGGACAGCAAGTGCTAAGGGGGCACTAAGTAGGTGGCTTGGCTCAGGGAGGCAGGCACTTGACAGGGCTGGGAGAGCAAAGGCAGCAAAGCGGGCACAGATGAGGCAGGACAAGTTGCCACAGGGCCAGGCGAGGCAAGAAAGTACAGAGCAGGCTATGATGTCTGGATTTCATCCTAAGTGAGATGGAAGGTCTGGAGGAGTTTGAGTTAGGGGAACAATACGATCCGATGATAGTTTAAAAGGCTACTCTGACAACTCTTGGAAGAGTAGACCAAAGGCTACAGAAAAACAGCAACACCAAGAGGGAGAAGGTGATTTCCATCAACCAGAGAGGAGGCGATGAGGCCAAAAGCAGCGTGGTGAGAGGCGATCAATGTCGGGAAACATTTGGAACGTGGAAATGACAGAGATTGCTAACGGGCTGCAGTGGGAGGTGAAGAAAAGAGAGGGATTTTGGGGTGTGCTTTGTCCTACAGGGGGACCATATAAATGGTGACGCCTTTAGCTGGCAAAAGGCAGCCTGGGGAGTGGGAGTAGGAGCAGGGGAAGGAAGAATGTGAGCGGAGGCCTTTGGTCAGATCTCAGAGATGCCAGGTACATACACAAGGGCCGCTGCTGGGTCGGCGGTCATGTAGTCGAGCCTGTGACAGCTACAGACATAAATTGGAGAATCGATGATATCTGAAGAGGAGCAGCAGTTCTCAGAGGCAGGGAGGGAGGCTAGAGCACAGCATGCTTTCAAATAGGCAATGTAGAACCACGGAGCTTCCGGACAACATAACGGCAAATAGCACAGCACTAACCAGCCACTGTTCAGGTTCCCCAGGCCAAGGTGAAGGATGGTAGCAGCAGACATAATGCGGGATCCTGACAGGAGGCTGCAAACAAATCCAGATACGCCTGCCGGGGAAGCAGCCTGAGCTATTGTGTTCTGGGCTAAACTGTACACACAAACTAAATAGTGACACATAGTCTTCATCGAAAAAGAACATTTCTTGAAAAAAAAGAATAGTTCTCAGACCAAGACAATAGAAGCAGTGAGGAATGGGATGAAGGTTCCCCGCTCAGCCAGAAAACCTCCTGGTGGGCTTTGGGTAAATTAATATCTTTCAGGAGCACCAAGTCTTATGACCAGATTTAAAGTGAGAGCCTTAAGGCTCTTTCTAACCCTCAGATTTGGTAGTGCAGTTCACCCTTCCTTTGTGGCACAGGGCAGGAGCACAGATATTAGCCATTCCTCACAGGAAAGTAAAATTAATTTGGACTAACAAGACCTGGATGCCCCAAACTAGCTAGGAAAAAATAAATAAACAACCCAATAGATGCTGCACATGGGAGACAGATTATGAACATAGTGACTGAAGGCAAAACGAGGGAATAGATGTTAATCAATACCTCATAAACAAATGCAAACAATACAGGTGCTGTATTGGACAGGCTAAGACACGAGGCATATACACATTAAAAGTTGATTGATTACTCATTGCCAGAACCAATGGATTCGGGGCAGGATCAGCATTCCAGTCACTCAGGGACATAAGCTTCCTCCAGCTTGTGATGCCACCAACTTCTCCACATGCCCCTGAGGTCATCACCAAAAGGGAATAAAGCACATGGAGGACTGGTCTGGGGACGCTGGTGCTCTTGAAGTGGCATTATTGCATTCATATGGCCCCAAACTGACCGAAAAGAGTGGGAAACTTTAGTCTTCCTGCAGATCTAAGAGCAAAAAAGATGTGCTTTGCTAAATACATAATAGTATCTCCTCTGCACAAACAGGCACAGATTCTGTAATGACTATTCCCCCTTACCCACAAGGAAGCGATTCGTCACGGCTGGCTTTATTAAACATTGACTCTGGGCTGGGTGTTGCACTCACTACTTGGCTTACTCTATCCACGTGAGTCCTCTGAGCAATCCTAGGAAGTAAATTCCCTTGTGATCCCTCCTCAGTCTTTCCAGAAGTGCAAGGAAAGGCACAGTGTGGTTATGGGACTTATTTCAGGGATACACAGCCAATATTTGAATCCAGTTTCTCCTAAGACGGATGCGAAAACAGATTAGTGGTCAGATGGGTCACAGAGAGGTGTGGCAAGCTGGGGCTTCGCACGTCTTCAGCGTGCATAAATGGAGAAGGGAGTGGGACCCTGGTGCTGCAATGAGCAGGTTTTTGCCTCTGGAGAGACAACAGTGGTAGGGAGACAGGAAGTGCCTGGCTGAGGATACAGCTGCATAGGAAACACAGAGCTCTTGGGAGGCACAGCCCCTGCCTTCCCACCATGTCCCAGCATCCAGTCAGTGTATTTCCTTGGCTCTGGGTTCCAAGGCATGGAACTGGTAAAATACATTGGCGCCTGGAGTGACTGGGTAAGCGACTCAGTTTAGATTTAAGCTGATGGAATTGCCAGGCCCCGGCAATTCTTCTTCCCCTAGTAGAAATCTCAGTACTGTGTGGCCAGATTAGATGTCCTCGCCACTACTCAAAGCTTCATTTCTGTCTCTCTGGCTTTCTGCCATACAATGGGCTTCCCAGGAGGCTCAAGTAGCCAGATGTAGAATGCAATTGTCCACGAGGCAAAATCCCCAACTTCCATGTGGCTGGATGTCATTTTGGGCTCACTTGGAATAGCTACTTTGTACCTCTGGCCTTATGAAAACCAGAGGGGAAAATTCTCTTCCACCTTTACTGCTTTAGAGTTGAGGTTCTTGCCTCAAGAGTTGCTTTAAACAGTGCCAGCAAAAAGGGCATGGTTGAATGTTACCACTGTCATCAACCCTGGTATGCCTAGGCCAGGTGATAACACCTACACTCACACAAACCACTTAGGACTTCTCTCAAGAGGCTTAGATGAAATGGATGTGAAAGCATATTCCACTCCGAAGTGCTATAACATGGCCGGTGCTAATCACACTGAAGTGTTGACCACAGAGTGTTCTTTCTGGTATATTTGCATAATTTGACTACTGTGCGTAGTCGTAATCCCAGAACTCTGGAAGGCAGAGGCAAAAGGATCACAAATTCAAGCTCAGCCTGGAAAACTTAGCAACATAGTGAGAACCTGTCTCAAAATAAAAAATAAAATGGGCTGGGGATGTAGCTCAGTGTAAAAGCCCTAGGTCCTCAGCACCCACACACCCACCCACACACACACACACACACACACACACACACACGAAATCTCCAATGTCACTTTGTTCATGCGGGTGTCAGTCTTCCAGCTCTTTGAGAGGAAGTTTTCATGACAATCTAGGAGAAGCAAGCCATGGGGCATGGGGGAGTCCCGTCCAGGCAAAGGGCTTTAAGAGGGCTATTCCACTCACGTTGCCGGCTGGTACTCCAGAGAGGAACAAGTAGAGAGAGGCACTGACTAACAAGAAAATCTGGGATGGATACGGAGGCTAGGCTAGGTCTGCTATAGATTTGTCCACTCATGCCCTGTGTGGCTTGCACAAGAATTACCCCTCAGAGCAGAATATGAAGGATTCTCTAACAGTGATTTGTATATTATCAAGTTGGATGCAAACATAATGGTTTTATGGCAGAATATTTAGTCAGTGATGTCCCAAAGTCAACTAATGGATCACTGACCAAACTAGGCTAGCATGAAGTGAGTCTAGTGTTCTAAGAATTACTGAGTATCCAGTCCCCTCAAACACTAGAAGTCTATATACCCAAAGGAATCAGTCACCTTACAGGGAATGGAAACCACATTTAATAACTCATTAGAAAGTCTGGTACTTAAGGTAGCAAATGTTGTGAGGCCCCGAGGAGATGCGCTGATTACACTTAATCCCACGAACTAAATGAATAGATCAAACCCTCAGACACAAGCAACACTCAGAAGACTATTCTACCTCTCCATGTGGCATCGCTGAAAAGTGTCAGGTGACACATGGGGTCTTTGTAATCAACCCATAACAAATGCCCACGAGAATGGACATCTGTTTTACGCTTTTGTTAGATTTCCAGGGGGAATCTGGCACCATAGATTTCTTGTCTGGCGGGGCTCATTAGCTAAGTGGGCAGCAGGAATACAAGGGGCTACAGTACCCTCCACACTGGCCCCCAATGCTTCCTCTTAGCTTTTGCATTGTTTTCCCTTAGCATCTGTATACTGTAAAGGTAACTTGGCTTCTAATGAATTCTTGGTCAGAAGTAATTGCCAATTTATTGTGGTAGCATTTTCAGCATTTAGCCAATTTAGAAATCCCAAAATCATAAAATATGGTTGTTAAATTCTTTGACTTCTGGAAAAGAAAAAAAGGTACTTTATAAATACCATCTGCCTATGTTTTTGCAGGCCGAGGGTTCCGAAACTCAGCTGTAGGAGGGCTCTGTTATCATCCTTTGTTTTTCTTTTTTTAAGGGGGAATAACAGACGGTGTTATCTGTGAGTCACCTGACACCTGGAAGGGAAAGGATCTCCTTAAAATCCCCCACGAGCTGTACCAGCCCTGCCCTCCTCTTCCTCCTCCAGAGTGGGTGTCTTCCCAGGCTCATCGGCCTGGCTCGGAACATGGGGAGGCCCCCAAGCCTCCTGAGGACCACAGTCAGAGCCAGCACCATGTCGCAGAGTGTGAGGCCAAACCCAAGCCGAGGCCTGCCAACCTGCGACATGCAGTGGCTACTGTTGCCATCACTGGGGTTGTGTGTGGCATCGTGTGTCTCACGATGCTGGGGGCTGCCATCTACGGCTTCACCTATGCAGCCATCACTGCTCAGGGTCACGGCCGACCCTCTGCGCAAACCTGCCAGCCTGGGAAGCCAGGAGAAAAAGAGCCGTTGAGCAGCTTGCCAGCCTGACAGTGTCCATCTCAAACAGGCCTGAGCATCACAGCTGGAAGAGAGGTCTGAGTATTACTTGTAGTCTCATTTTGCTTTTTCCAAAAGGTAAATAAAATAATAATAATAATAATAATAATAATGTGTCTTTAAAAAGATATTCCTGGGAAGAGATGTATGTAGAAATTTTTAAGATACCACAGATTAAATAGAGATCAACTTGTACCCTGGCGCAAGAAGTCATGACTATGATTTCATGTGGGAGAGGCCATACACAGAGAAAGGGAAGATACCATCTCCTGCAGGTACTCTTCCCGGGATTAAGTTGCTTTGCAGAGGAACAAAAATTCCAACATGCAAGCCAATCCACATTCCTGGGAGCTTTAGGATCCCCTGGAAAACTGCCCAAGTTTGAGTGCCTAGAAGAGGCTTGTGATCTTCCCCGAGGGGCACTGAATGCCTCTATAATTCAAGTTCATGCTAGATCACTGATACTTTTAGATGTTGTGTATGTTATATATTTAATGGGAGCATCTGTTAGTGGGAATTTTGTAGCTTGCCACAAGAGTCAGATTATATTTAATTTTCTAAATCAGAAAACCATTTGGGGCCTTCTAGGCCACAGAGGAAGAGGAGGGTCCCATGTCTGGATAATGCAAGTCAGGCCCGGAGTCTGATGGAAAGGTAAAGAGTTTTTAAGCAAACACAAAGAGGATGGGGAGCCAGAATTCGAGGCAGATATTACCAAAAGCCGTATCCACCAAATGGAACCTTCCATTCGTAACACGCACAGCAGGAATGCATTTAGGTTAGGCTGCAAGCGAGGTAATGGCTTTTGTTTATCTGTATCTACATACACAGTGCCCAGAGAGCACAGCCTGTCCAACCACACCCACACATAAACAAGCTTGGAGCAATCAGTTTGCCCGCTAATGAAATGCAGCCGTGTGAGGGTGGGAGCCAGCAACTGCTGATCACCACCCAGACTGTCTACTCAACACCCTGGGATAGGAAGTGAGAAGGAAGTCTGAGGAGAGTGAGAATTACCAAGAGACTTGAGATATGCGGTGGCAGGCTTCCTGAACGTTATTTAGGCCATGGCTTTAAAACATCAGGTGTGGGTTGCTCAGTCCACAAATGTGGTCCTGAAGAGTTGCATGCAAAGTGAATTTTTGTAAATTGAATCATCATTTTAATGCAGTAGGGGAGCTCGCTATTTAAAGGAACCTTTCATGGAATCTTTCTGTAATGGAAATAATTGGCTCCAGATCTACGCGTTTTATAAATTTGCATTTTCTCATGCTAGGTTTTCTTAAAGTGGAATCTACCTGTTCTCCCTCAGCTCATATTTACAGTCACTTCTTAGGATTCAAATTATTTTACACAGGAAGAGAGGACAGAGGCGTTAAGGACATGTTAAAAGTAGAAAATGGCAAGTATAGGGAGACTCCTCTGGAGCCATGACAGACATCGCTAATCAATCCCAGCTCTCCTCCCAGCTGAGCCCCAATGCACCACAGATGGTTTCTTAAGACAGCACTGTAAGCAACCAGAACCAATCAATTGGAATTGGTTCAAAGGATAAAGCACATTTGCCATTCAGGACACTGGCTCTACATTCACTCCTTGAGGCCATGTAAAAATTGCTTTGGATCCTAAATCAGTAGTGCATTCCCTACCCTAGCTGGAATGTGAATGGGAGGTTTGCGTGTGTATGGGATAGACAGATGTAGCCCGAGCCTTGGCCAATAGTGTAATGAAGCCACAGGAAAATGGATGAACTACCACACCCCACTGTGCAGGACTCACACCAATGCATCTCTAACTATCACAGAGGCAGTCCGAACCTGCCCATAGAGAGCTCTGGAAATGGGCTATCTTCTGGGAGTAGCAATTTTGCTGAATGATTTTTCTTGGGGGAAAAGCGTAAACTTATAGGGCAAGTTTTTTCTGAATATGAAAAGAAACCTGAATACATTAAGGAACAGATTTTTTAAAGACCTCAGGGAAGGCCTGCTGCTGCACAGGCACCTCCACTCCATTCTGCCACGTGGGGCCACTTCAACGCGCAAGGCTTAGAATCCTGTCCTAAGGACACAGATAAACCCTTTCTTTCCATTGTCCTGGACGAGGGATCCTTGGACAAAACCTCGGTGTGAGAAAGGAACGTTAGAATACCTTTGTATTCTTCATGTTGATTTCACTGAGTGTTCTCAGTGCTTGCGCTGCCCAGCAGGCCTAGTGGGAGGCACTCCCATAAGCGAGTGTGTGACCCTCACACCCACTCTGCGAGCTACTTCAACAGACATCGCATAGCTGGGAGCTGCTGAAGCAAAGAGGGCAGGCTTCCTCCAACGGCAGCGACTCCATGCTGTGAGCACACTGTACTCTGCCAAAGAGCGGTGACACGGCAGGTCAACCCTGTCCCCTGCCCACAAAGATTACATGAAAAAATTCCCAGTATCCCGCAGAAACCCCTGAACAGGGCTAGAACCCTCACTTGTCAACACCCACATCCCATTAGATTCCTCAGGGAAGATGATAACCCAGGCAGCAGACTTCCAGCGAAGGGACAGTCATCAAGGACAGCGGTTACAATGATGCTTATGTACATCAGCTTTCTATCAGGTGCCTACAGTCACCACCAACAGCAGCTGGCAACGAAAATAATTACGTACTCTAAAATGTCAACAGCTTCTCAGCACAGAAAAATATAAATCAAATTGTTTAGATTAACAAATGTAGAGTTATCATTTGCTAATATGAGAAATGAAATGTTTTAACTGTAGAAAAACCCTGCAGATGAAAGACCCAATTTGGAGTGTATTCTGCAAGAACCACAAATTATCTTTCACAACCACGACAGCTCATGAGGGGTAATTTGAAAACGCCTCATAGATTATTTTCAGCTGTTTATTGCTGCTGTCATATTCATAGATTCCCCTATGAAAATGTCCTTGCATCGTAGAGCCATGCTGAGGGCACACTAAGGACAAAAATCACGGTTACTGTTTATTACTCCTGACGAAATCCTCTGAAGTATCATTTTACATCATATTTGGTAGAAGTGAATGGTGACAGACAGTTGATTTTTGCTTCGCCGGAGATCACAAATTCATAAACAGATGCCACAGTTGTCTGCCGTGCACTATGTGAGGAAAGGCCAGGAGGAACGCGCACTGCTATAAGGATTTTGGAGTAAAAAGATCTAGCATCAAATCTATGTCTGACAAACATTTACCATTAAGGGAGATATCCCTGTCCGTGCAGGAAGATTCTCAGGCTCAGGATTATAAAATGTTAGTGCAATAATTGTCTTATTTTTGTCTTATAAAAATGGAAGAGTTAAAAGTTATTCACAGGTAGGTTTCTTCTTAAAAGTGCACGAAAATCAAATCTTATTACTCAAGTTAACCGGGTAATGCTGGAAAAAAAAAAAGACACCATTTCAAATATTAAAAGAAGTGGCTAAATCAATTTTCAACATAATCTCTCTGCAGCAAACATTCATATAATTATAATAATGGCTGTTAGAAACCTATACATTTCTATTTCAGGTCAGGAAATTACTCTTTGCAGTTTGGTAAAACCCATTAGTGTATCCATTGCTTAATGCTACTGACAGAAACTTTCCCGAAAATGGTATTCCAAACCTACCTGGCATTTCTGAGCTGTGGTTTATGTGCACAGATTCAGAGAACCATCTTGTTTTTCCTTTTGATGAAAATGCTTTATTTTTTAAGGCTCAAATTGCAATGAAATCTCAAGGAAACCCTCATCCCATTCAGAGAAGCAACTTCATAAGCTACCACCTTATTTTAAGTTCTTGACTGGACTCTACATACCAACTTTCACTCCAAAGATGCTAAATATTCTTTTGATTGGGTGGTACATCGTCCAGCTGTGAAGGCCCATCAAAAACACCCAGAGAAAGAATCAAAGAATTCGGAAGCCAGGAAAAACCTTGAAGAGAATTTATTCTAGGCCTGGAAAATTTCAGAATAGCTGCCACAAACCTTCCTATCCACTGCACACATTGCTAACACATCACAGCAAACTTATCTGCTGAACAGGAACACAGCCTCAGAATCCTCTTAAATCTGTTTTCCAGGTACCCACAGCTGACCAAATCGAGTTGACACAAGAGATTAAACCTATTTGCTTCCCTGATAGAGTTCAGTGCCCTTATTTTATAGATAGGAAATGGAAACATAAAAAAAGGAAAGGGATTTTCCAAAAGTCACACACATAATTAATTGCGTGCTTGATAAATGCAGTTGCAGATCCACGAAGTAAGCAAGAATAATACAGTTTTACCCCAGCATCCTTTGTTCATTCTGTGGTAAACTAAAATATCTAGACTATGACATAGTTACACTAATTATTAGGATTAGGACAATTATAGAACCACCATTAACATTTGTTGAACATCCAACTCTGTGCCAGGAATTTTCTAAGCATGCTAATTCTTTTCTCTAAACCTTATATTGACCAAAGCATGTAGGCATTTTACTGCCGTGTTACAGATGAAAGGACCTGACCCCAAGGTTTGTCATTTGCCCAAGGTCAAGCCTCTAGGAAATGGTGGAAGAGGATTTTTGATGCAGGTCTCCCCAAGGCCAAACCCTGGGCACTTTTGAAGATGTGACAGATTTGAAGAAGTCAGAGCCTTTTGCTGGCACTGCCCAACACTTATTTTAAAACATGGCAGAGAAAAGGAATCCAACTGCCAACTAGTATGTCACTGCCAGCACTCTTGCCCCATCAGAAACAAGGCAGCTGAAGGGACCAAGGCAAAATAGGAAAGTGGGGGTCCTTTTATCACTCATGACTCTGCTGGGCTAGAAAGACATTCTTGGAATGAGAGGGGAAGAAACTCAGCCCAGAAATCTTGCATTACTTGAATAAAAAGATACAATTAGATTCCCTATTAAAATTCTAGCTCATATAGTGGGATTTCTCAGTAAAATGCCCATTAAAACAAAGAAGGAAAAAATTATGAGAGCCCTAGAAATGAGGAAGACTACTCAATGATAT